GTTCACAACTTTACAAACGATACGTTGATCATGTTCTAGTCATCACAATAAGTCTGGAAGAGACAACATGGATTATGGATAAACTCGATCGCCTGCATCCGAATATACGATTTATGATGGAAACAGAAATCGAAGATACACTGCACTTCCTCGACATTAAAATCACTAGGAATAATGATGGAACAATGGCCAGATCTGTTTACCGAAAAGAAACTTGGACAGGCCAATGCTTGCAATTTGACAGCTTTGTGTCTGTGGAATATGAACGTGGTCTGGTCCGAACACTATTTCAAACAGCACGACATATCTGCACAGAAGACATGATTGACAACGAACTACGACAGCTGAAAGAATCTTTGACTAGAAACGCTTATCCCGATGCGTTTATCGAAAAGCACAGCAAGCCTAAATTGATCAGACAAACGAATTGTTCAGCAGAAAAACTACTAGTCACCATTTGTCTTCCATTCATACGTGATGACATCAATTGCTTGCTCAAACGACCACTTGGATCAGCGCTTGCCCAAAACAAATATTATGCACCTGACCTCAGAATTATTCATCGAACGATTGAGATCCCCACACCCTCGGTGAAACAACGTCCACCTCTGTACACCAAATCGAATCTGATTTACCAATTTCAGTGTAGTTGCGGAGCAACGTACGTGGGTCGAACAGAGCGCCAGTTACGTAACCGAGTGATTGAATATATTCCAAATTTGGTACAACGTTTTGTGATGCAATCAGGGTCAGATCAAAGGCATAATGACAACGTTCGAAACCATAAGATCCCGTGGTCGGCTGTCGGCCGTCGGCCGTCGGCCGTCGCTCGTCATCTTCTGATGACGCAACATCCAGCTGACCGAAGCACTGCGTTTCGGGTCATTTACGTGGCAAAGAATACCAGGCTTTTGAGGTTTGTTCAAACCATTGCCATACATTCATGGAAACCTAATATTGTGTCAGCACAAACAGCTCTTTGTTCATGTGTCTTTATCATGGTGACGTAACTTGACTATTGAAATTTCCCCTATATTTGTCGAAAATTATGGTTTTACATGAACTTATATAAACAGTATGGTTGTGCAGTGTGCACCATGTTCAGATGCAGCGAAATCGTCCCGGACACGAATCGTGCAATGTTGCAACTGTGGCTTTTCTTTTCAAGATTATTTCGGGAAAAGCATGTTTAAATTTCCTCAGATCTCGTCTCCCGAAATTAACCATTAGATCTCTCGATGACCTAGTCAGATTGAGATGTGAAATTGCCACAACTCGAGTCCGTATTCATTTTCTGGAACAACGTGCCCGTTGCAACAGATATCCGATTACGTTTTGCAAACGCTTACGGAGGAATAAAATCTGTGCCTCTACCAGGAATTTGAGACGTTTGATGCGATGTCAGATTGATGATTATAAAGAAAATCTAACGACACTTAAGACCACGTGCATCGAATGATCAATAATTCTTGACGAACTGAGCCTCGTTAGCCGAATCAAATTTACCAACTTGTGCATGGAAAACATACGAGAAGCCAAACTTTGTACATTCAACAAGCTTCAGAATTCCATCGTCCACAAGTTAGTCGAACCAAATTTTCCGAAACAACCAGAAAGGTTTGTGAAGAATTTGTCTCCGGTTAAACGAATGAACTTCAACTACAGGCTCTTTCGTGTGGTCTACGTTTCTGCATACCACCGAGTAAAATGACCAGCATAAAGACACAGGCGCAATTTGAATATCTATTCGAACAACTACAATTAGTCAAACGAACTTCAAAAGATGCGGAGACTTGGTTCAAAGCAAAGCTGGTTGACTTGGAACGACAGTACCGGATGACATCGTCCAAACATAAGTCACTCTTCACGCCTGAGCACATTCACATCCGCCATTGAAGAGCTACAGTTGTGACCTGATTTGTTAGTTTAACGCCCTAACAAGGGGTCCGGAGCAGTGCTGATCGATCGGAATGATTATGAGAAGAAGATGGAAAGTGTTCTTCATGATCCCAGCAAGTTTGTACTCGAAGATGACTGTGAAGACCCTAAAGAACTAGAACAACAGATATCGACAGCAGTACAGTTTCTACTAGAAGGACACTTCATCCATGAAAGCACAGCTCACCATCTGAAGCCAAAAAGAACTCGAAGTGCACAACTGTATGGTTTACCGAAACTAAACAAACCCGGAGTGCCACTTGGACCAATACTACTACTATCTATGACAAATTCACCACAACACGAATTGGCCAAATGGCTGGAGAAATTGCTTGAGCCAGTTCATAAATCAATGGTCAGACACACTATAAAAAAGACAGTTTCGAAGTGGTAAAGCTTTTGGACCAGATCAATGTGAAAGGGAAGCACATGGCTTCATTTGATTTCCAATCACTGTTTACGAATGTTCCCGGTCGGGAGGTCATACGTATCATGTGTGATCATGTGGAGCAAAACCAACTGAAAATCGGTATACCAGTATCAGTTCTGGTACGACAATTACTACTGTGCACAACAAACGTATCGTTCTCCTTCCTTGGTTGGGCTTACAGACAAATTGACGGTGTCGCAATCGGAACTCCATTGAGCCCCATTCTGGCACATATGTTTTTGGCTCATCTTGAGGAAAAGGCGAGCAAAATCCTCGAACGTTCACAACTTTACAAACGATACGTTGATCATGTTCTAGTCATCACAATAAGTCTAGAAGAGACAACATGGATTATGGATAAACTCGATCGCCTGCATCCGAATATACGATTTATGATGGAAACAGAAATCGAAGATACACTGCACTTCCTCGACATTAAAATGACTAGGAATAATGATGGAACAATGGCCAGATCTGTTTACCGAAAAGAAACTTGGACAGGCCAATGCTTGCAATTTGACAGCTTTGTGTCTGTGGAATATGAACGTGGTCTGGTCCGAACACTATTTCAAACAGCACGACATATCTGCACAGAAGATATGATTGACAACGAACTACGACAGCTGAAAGAATCTTTGACTAGAAACGCTTATCCCGATGCGTTTATCGAAAAGCACAGCAAGCCTAAATTGATCAGACAAACGAATTGTTCAGCAGAAAAACTACTAGTCACCATTTGTCTTCCATTCATACGTGATGACATCAATTGCTTGCTCAAACGACCACTTGGATCAGCGCTTGCCCAAAACAAATATTATGCACCTGACCTCAGAATTATTCATCGAACGATTGAGATCCCCACACCCTCGGTGAAACAACGTCCACCTCTGTACACCAAATCGAATCTGATTTACCAATTTCAGTGTAGTTGCGGAGCAACGTACGTGGGTCGAACAGAGCGCCAGTTACGTAACCGAGTGATTGAATATATTCCAAATTTGGTACAACGTTTTGTGATGCAATCAGGGTCAGATCAAAGGCATAATGACAACGTTCGAAACCATAAGATCCCGTGGTCGGCTGTCGGCCGTCGCTCGTCATCTTCTGATGACGCAACATCCAGCTGACCGAAGCACTGCGTTTCGGGTCATTTACGTGGCAAAGAATACCAGGCTTTTGAGGTTTGTTCAAACCATTGCCATACATTCATGGAAACCTAATATTGTGTCAGCACAAACAGCTCTTTGTTCATGTGTCTTTATCATGGTGACGTAACTTGACTATTGAAATTTCCCCTATATTTGTCGAAAATTATGGTTTTACATGAACTTATATAAACAGTATGGTTGTGCAGTGTGCACCATGTTCAGATGCAGCGAAATCGTCCCGGACACGAATCGTGCAATGTTGCAACTGTGGCTTTTCTTTTCAAGATTATTTCGGGAAAAACATGTTCAAATTTCCTCAGATCTCGTCTCCCGAAATTAACCATTAGGTCTCTCGATGACCTAGTCAGATTGAGATGTGAAATTGCCACAACTCGAGTCCGTATTCATTTTCTGGAACAACGTGCCCGTTGCAACAGATATCCGATTACGTTTTGCAAACGCTTACGGAGGAATAAAATCTGTGCCTCTACCAGGAATTTGAGACGTTTGATGCGATGTCAGATTGATGATTATAAAGAAAATCTAACGACACTTCAGACCACGTGCATCGAATGATCAATAATTCTTGACGAACTGAGCCTCGTTAGCCGAATCAAATTTACCAACTTGTGCATGGAAAACATACGAGAAGCCAAACTTTGTACATTCAACAAGCTTCAGAATTCCATCGTCCACAAGTTAGTCGAACCAAATTTTCCGAAACAACCAGAAAGGTTTGTGAAGAATTTGTCTCCGGTTAAACGAATGAACTTCAACTACAGGCTCTTTCGTGTGGTCTACGTTTCTGCATACCACCGAGTAAAATGACCAGCATAAAGACACAGGCGCAATTTGAATATCTATTCGAACAACTACAATTAGTCAAACGAACTTCAAAAGATGCGGAGACTTGGTTCAAAGCAAAGCTGGTTGACTTGGAACGACAGTACCGGATGACATCGTCCAAACATAAGTCACTCTTCACGCCTGAGCACATTCACATCCGCCATTGAAGAGCTACAGTTGTGACCTGATTTGTTAGTTTTACGCCCTAACAAGGGGTCCGGAGCAGTGCTCATCGATCGGAATGATTATGAGAAGAAGATGGAAAGTGTTCTTCATGATCCCAGCAAGTTTGTACTCGAAGATGACTGTGAAGACCCTAAAGAACTAGAACAACAGATATCGACAGCAGTACAGTTTCTACTAGAAGGACACTTCATCGATGAAAGCACAGCTCACCATCTGAAGCCAAAAGGAACTCGAAGTGCACAACTGTATGGTTTACCGAAACTAAACAAACCCGGAGTGCCACTTGGACCAATACTACTACTATCTATGACAAATTCACCACAACACGAATTGGCCAAATGGCTGGAGAAATTGCTTGAGCCAGTTCATAAATCAATGGTCAGACACACTATAAAAAAGACAGTTTCGAAGTGGTAAAGCTTTTGGACCAGATCAATGTGAAAGGGAAGCACATGGCTTCATTTGATTTCCAATCACTGTTTACGAATGTTCCCGGTCGGGAGGTCATACGTATCATGTGTGATCATGTGGAGCAAAACCAACTGAAAATCGGTATACCAGTATCAGTTCTGGTACGACAATTACTACTGTGCACAACAAACGTACAGTTCTCCTTCCTTGGTTGGGCTTACAGACAAATTGACGGTGTCGCAATCGGAACTCCATTGAGCCCCATTCTGGCACATATGTTTTTGGCTCATCTTGAGGAAAAGGCGAGCAAAATCCTCGAACGTTCACAACTTTACAAACGATACGTTGATCATGTTCTAGTCATCACAATAAGTCTAGAAGAGACAACATGGATTATGGATAAACTCGATCGCCTGCATCCGAGTATACGATTTACGATGGAAACAGAAATCGAAGATACACTGCACTTCCTCGACATTAAAATGACTAGGAATAATGATGGAACAATGGCCAGATCTGTTTACCGAAAAGAAACTTGGACAGGCCAATGCTTGCAATTTGACAGCTTTGTGTCTGTGGAATATGAACGTGGTCTGGTCCGAACACTATTTCAAACAGCACGACATATCTGCACAGAAGACATGATTGACAACGAACTACGACAGCTGAAAGAATCTTTGACTAGAAACGCTTATCCCGATGCGTTTATCGAAAAGCACAGCAAGCCTAAATTGATCAGACAAACGAATTGTTCAGCAGAAAAACTACTAGTCACCATTTGTCTTCCATTCATACGTGATGACATCAATTGCTTGCTCAAACGACCACTTGGATCAGCGCTTGCCCAAAACAAATATTATGCACCTGACCTCAGAATTATTCATCGAACGATTGAGATCCCCACACCCTCGGTGAAACAACGTCCACCTCTGTACACCAAATCGAATCTGATTTATCAATTTCAGTGTAGTTGCGGAGCAACGTACGTGGGTCGAACAGAGCGCCAGTTACGTAACCGAGTGATTGAATATATTCCAAATTGGGTACAACGTTTTGTGATGCAATCAGGGTCAGATCAAAGGCATAATGACAACGTTCGAAACCATAAGGTCCCGTCGTCGGCTGTCGGCCGTCGGCCGTCGGCCGTCGCTCGTCATCTTCTGATGACGCAACATCCAGCTGACCGAACCACTGCGTTTCGGGTCATTTACGTGGCAAAGAATACCAGGCTTTTGAGGTTTGTTCAAACCATTGCCATACATTCATGGAAACCTAATATTGTGTCAGCACAAACAGCTCTTTGTTCATGTGTCTTTATCATGGTGACGTAACTTGACTATTGAAATTTCCCCTATATTTGTCGAAAATTATGGTTTTACATGAACTTATATAAACAGTATAGTTGTGCAGTGTGCACCATGTTCAGATGCAGCGAAATCGTCCCGGACACGAATCGTGCAATGTTGCAACTGTGGCTTTTCTTTTCAAGATTATTTCGGGAAAAACATGTTCAAATTTCCTCAGATCTCGTCTCCCGAAATCAACCATTAGGTCTCTCGATGACCTAGTCAGATTGAGATGTGAAATTGCCACAACTCGAGTCCGTATTCATTTTCTGGAACAACGTGCCCGTTGCAACAGATATCCGATTACGTTTTGCAAACGCTTACGGAGGAATAAAATCTGTGCCTCTACCAGGAATTTAAGACGTTTGATGCGATGTCAGATTGATGATTATAAAGAAAATCTAACGACACTTCAGACCACGTGCATCGAATGATCAATAATTCTTGACGAACTGAGCCTCGTTAGCCGAATCAAATTTACCAACTTGTGCATGGAAAACATACGAGAAGCCAAACTTTGTACATTCAACAAGCTTCAGAATTCCATCGTCCACAAGTTAGTCGAACCAAATTTTCCGAAACAACCAGAAAGGTTTGTGAAGAATTTGTCTCCGGTTAAACGAATGAACTTCAACTACAGGCTCTTTCGTGTGGTCTACGTTTCTGCATACCACCGAGTAAAATGACCAGCATAAAGACACAGGCGCAATTTGAATATCTATTCGAACAACTACAATTAGTCAAACGAACTTCAAAAGATGCGGAGACTTGGTTCAAAGCAAAGCTGGTTGACTTGGAACGACAGTACCGGATGACATCGTCCAAACATAAGTCACTCTTCACGCCTGAGCACATTCACATCCGCCATTGAAGAGCTACAGTTGTGACCTAATTTGTTAGTTTTACGCCCTAACAAGGGGTCCGGAGCAGTGCTGATCGATCGGAATGATTATGAGAAGAAGATGGAAAGTGTTCTTCATGATCCCAGCAAGTTTGTACTCGAAGATGACTGTGAAGACCCTAAAGAACTAGAACAACAGATATCGACAGCAGTACAGTTTCTACTAGAAGGACACTTCATCGATGAAAGCACAGCTCACCATCTGAAGCCAAAAGGAACTCGAAGTGCACAACTGTATGGTTTACCGAAACTAAACAAACCCGGAGTGCCACTTGGACCAATACTACTACTATCTATGACAAATTCACCACAACACGAATTGGCCAAATGGCTGGAGAAATTGCTTGAGCCAGTTCATAAATCAATGGTCAGACACACTATAAAAAAGACAGTTTCGAAGTGGTAAAGCTTTTGGACCAGATCAATGTGAAAGGGAAGCACATGGCTTCATTTGATTTCCAATCACTGTTTACGAATGTTCCCGGTCGGGAGGTCATACGTATCATGTGTGATCATGTGGAGCAAAACGAACTGAAAATCGGTATACCAGTATCAGTTCTGGTACGACAATTACTACTGTGCACAACAAACGTATCGTTCTCCTTCCTTGGTTGGGCTTACAGACAAATTGACGGTGTCGCAATCGGAACTCCATTGAGCCCCATTCTGGCACATATGTTTTTGGCTCATCTTGAGGAAAAGGCGAGCAAAATCCTCGAACGTTCACAACTTTACAAACGATACGTTGATCATGTTCTAGTCATCACAATAAGTCTGGAAGAGACAACATGGATTATGGATAAACTCGATCGCCTGCATCCGAATATACGATTTATGATGGAAACAGAAATCGAAGATACACTGCACTTCCTCGACATTAAAATGACTAGGAATAATGATGGAACAATGGCCAGATCTGTTTACCGAAAAGAAACTTGGACAGGCCAATGCTTGCAATTTGACAGCTTTGTGTCTGTGGAATATGAACGTGGTCTGGTCCGAACACTATTTCAAACAGCACGACATATCTGCACAGAAGACATGATTGACAACGAACTACGACAGCTGATAGAATCTTTGACTAGAAACGCTTATCCCGATGCGTTTATCGAAAAGCACAGCAAGCCTAAATTGATCAGACAAACGAATTGTTCAGCAGAAAAACTACTAGTCACCATTTGTCTTCCATTCATACGTGATGACATCAATTGCTTGCTCAAACGACCACTTGGATCAGCGCTTGCCCAAAACAAATATTATGCACCTGACCTCAGAATTATTCATCGAACGATTGAGATCCCCACACCCTCGGTGAAACAACGTCCACCTCTGTACACCAAATCGAATCTGATTTACCAATTTCAGTGTAGTTGCGGAGCAACGTACGTGGGTCGAACAGAGCGCCAGTTACGTAATCGAGTGATTGAATATATTCCAAATTTGGTACAACGTTTTGTGATGCAATCAGGGTCAGATCAAAGGCATAATGACAACGTTCGAAACCATAAGATCCCGTGGTCGGCTGTCGGCCGTCGGCCGTCGGCCGTCGCTCGTCATCTTCTGATGACGCAACATCCAGCTGACCGAAGCACTGCGTTTTGGGTCATTTACGTGGCAAAGAATACCAGGCTTTTGAGGTTTGTTCAAACCATTGCCATACATTCATGGAAACCTAATATTGTGTCAGCACAAACAGCTCTTTGTTCATGTGTCTTTATCATGGTGACGTAACTTGACTATTGAAATTTCCCCTATATATGTCGAAAATTATGGTTTTACATGAACTTATATAAACAGTATAGTTGTGCAGTGTGCACCATGTTCAGATGCAGCGAAATCGTCCCGGACACGAATCGTGCAATGTTGCAACTGTGGCTTTTCTTTTCAAGATTATTTCGGGAAAAGCATGTTTAAATTTCCTCAGATCTCGTCTCCCGAAATCAACCATTAGGTCTCTCGATGACCTAGTCAGATTGAGATGTGAAATTGCCACAACTCGAGTCCGTATTCATTTTCTGGAACAACGTGCCCGTTGCAACAGATATCCGATTACGTTTTGCAAACGCTTACGGAGGAATAAAATCTGTGCCTCTACCAGGAATTTGAGACGTTTGATGCGATGTCAGATTGATGATTATAAAGAAAATCTAACGACACTTCAGACCACGTGCATCGAATGATCAATAATTCTTGACGAACTGAGCCTCGTTAGCCGAATCAAATTTACCAACTTGTGCATGGAAAACATACGAGAAGCCAAACTTTGTACATTCAACAAGCTTCAGAATTCCATCGTCCACAAGTTAGTCGAACCAAATTTTCCGAAACAACCAGAAAGGTTTGTGAAGAATTTGTCTCCGGTTAAACGAATGAACTTCAACTACAGGCTCTTTCGTGTGGTCTACGTTTCTGCATACCACCGAGTAAAATGACCAGCATAAAGACACAGGCGCAATTTGAATATCTATTCGAACAACTACAATTAGTCAAACGAACTTCAAAAGATGCGGAGACTTGGTTCAAAGCAAAGCTGGTTGACTTGGAACGACAGTACCGGATGACATCGTCCAAACATAAGTCACTCTTCACGCCTGAGCACATTCACATCCGCCATTGAAGAGCTACAGTTGTGACCTAATTTGTTAGTTTTACGCCCTAACAAGGGGTCCGGAGCAGTGCTGATCGATCGGAATGATTATGAGAAGAAGATGGAAAGTGTTCTTCATGATCCCAGCAAGTTTGTACTCGAAGATGACTGTGAAGACCCTAAAGAACTAGAACAACAGATATCGACCGCAGTACAGTTTCTACTAGAAGGACACTTCATCCATGAAAGCACAGCTCACCATCTGAAGCCAAAAAGAACTCGAAGTGCACAACTGTATGGTTTACCGAAACTAAACAAACCCGGAGTGCCACTTGGACCAATACTACTACTATCTATGACAAATTCACCACAACACGAATTGGCCAAATGGCTGGAGAAATTGCTTGAGCCAGTTCATAAATCAATGGTCAGACACACTATAAAAAAGACAGTTTCGAAGTGGTAAAGCTTTTGGACCAGATCAATGTGAAAGGGAAGCACATGGCTTCATTTGATTTCCAATCACTGTTTACGAATGTTCCCGGTCGGGAGGTCATACGTATCATGTGTGATCATGTGGAGCAAAACCAACTGAAAATCGGTATACCAGTATCAGTTCTGGTACGACAATTACTACTGTGCACAACAAACGTATCGTTCTCCTTCCTTGGTTGGGCTTACAGACAAATTGACGGTGTCGCAATCGGAACTCCATTGAGCCCCATTCTGGCACATATGTTTTTGGCTCATCTTGAGGAAAAGGCGAGCAAAATCCTCGAACGTTCACAACTTTACAAACGATACGTTGATCATGTTCTAGTCATCACAATAAGTCTGGAAGAGACAACATGGATTATGGATAAACTCGATCGCCTGCATCCGAATATACGATTTATGATGGAAACAGAAATCGAAGATACACTGCACTTCCTCGACATTAAAATGACTAGGAATAATGATGGAACAATGGCCAGATCTGTTTACCGAAAAGAAACTTGGACAGGCCAATGCTTGCAATTTGACAGCTTTGTGTCTGTGGAATATGAACGTGGTCTGGTCCGAACACTATTTCAAACAGCACGACATATCTGCACAGAAGACATGATTGACAACGAACTACGACAGCTGATAGAATCTTTGACTAGAAACGCTTATCCCGATGCGTTTATCGAAAAGCACAGCAAGCCTAAATTGATCAGACAAACGAATTGTTCAGCAGAAAAACTACTAGTCACCATTTGTCTTCCATTCATACGTGATGACATCAATTGCTTGCTCAAACGACCACTTGGATCAGCGCTTGCCCAAAACAAATATTATGCACCTGACCTCAGAATTATTCATCGAACGATTGAGATCCCCACACCCTCGGTGAAACAACGTCCACCTCTGTACACCAAATCGAATCTGATTTACCAATTTCAGTGTAGTTGCGGAGCAACGTACGTGGGTCGAACAGAGCGCCAGTTACGTAACCGAGTGATTGAATATATTCCAAATTTGGTACAACGTTTTGTGATGCAATCAGGGTCAGATCAAAGGCATAATGACAACGTTCGAAACCATAAGATCCCGTGGTCGGCTGTCGGCCGTCGGCCGTCGGCCGTCGCTCGTCATCTTCTGATGACGCAACATCCAGCTGACCGAAGCACTGCGTTTTGGGTCATTTACGTGGCAAAGAATACCAGGCTTTTGAGGTTTGTTCAAACCATTGCCATACATTCATGGAAACCTAATATTGTGTCAGCACAAACAGCTCTTTGTTCATGTGTCTTTATCATGGTGACGTAACTTGACTATTGAAATTTCCCCTATATATGTCGAAAATTATGGTTTTACATGAACTTATATAAACAGTATAGTTGTGCAGTGTGCACCATGTTCAGATGCAGCGAAATCGTCCCGGACACGAATCGTGCAATGTTGCAACTGTGGCTTTTCTTTTCAAGATTATTTCGGGAAAAGCATGTTTAAATTTCCTCAGATCTCGTCTCCCGAAATCAACCATTAGGTCTCTCGATGACCTAGTCAGATTGAGATGTGAAATTGCCACAACTCGAGTCCGTATTCATTTTCTAAAACAACGTGCCCGTTGCAACAGATATCCGATTACGTTTTGCAAACGCTTACGGAGGAATAAAATCTGTGCCTCTACCAGGAATTTGAGACGTTTGATGCGATGTCAGATTGATGATTATAAAGAAAATCTAACGACACTTCAGACCACGTGCATCGAATGATCAATAATTCTTGACGAACTGAGCCTCGTTAGCCGAATCAAAATTACCAACTTGTGCATGGAAAACATACGAGAAGCCAAACTTTGTACATTCAACAAGCTTCAGAATTCCATCGTCCACAAGTTAGTCGAACCAAATTTTCCGAAACAACCAGAAAGGTTTGTGAAGAATTTGTCTCCGGTTAAACGAATGAACTTCAACTACAGGCTCTTTCGTGTGGTCTACATTTCTGCATACCACCGAGTAAAATGACCAGCATAAAGACACAGGCGCAATTTGAATATCTATTCGAACAACTACAATTAGTCAAACGAACTTCAAAAGATGCGGAGACTTGGTTCAAAGCAAAGCTGGTTGACTTGGAACGACAGTACCGGATGACATCGTCCAAACATAAGTCACTCTTCACGCCTGAGCACATTCACATCCGCCATTGAAGAGCTACAGTTGTGACCTGATTTGTTAGTTTTACGCCCTAACAAGGGTCCGGAGCAGTGCTGATCGATCGGAATGATTATGAGAAGAAGATGGAAAGTGTTCTTCATGATCCCAGCAAGTTTGTACTCGAAGATGACTGTGAAGACCCTAAAGAACTAGAACAACAGATATCGACCGCAGTACAGTTTCTACTAGAAGGACACTTCATCCATGAAAGCACAGCTCACCATCTGAAGCCAAAAGGAACTCGAAGTGCACAACTGTATGGTTTACCGAAACTAAACAAACCCGGAGTGCCACTTGGACCAATACTACTACTATCTATGACAAATTCACCACAACACGAATTGGCCAAATGGCTGGAGAAATTGCTTGAGCCAGTTCATAAATCAATGGTCAGACACACTATAAAAAAGACAGTTTCGAAGTGGTAAAGCTTTTGGACCAGATCAATGTGAAAGGGAAGCACATGGCTTCATTTGATTTCCAATCACTGTTTACGAATGTTCCCGGTCGGGAGGTCATACGTATCATGTGTGATCATGTGGAGCAAAACCAACTGAAAATCGGTATACCAGTATCAGTTCTGGTACGACAATTACTACTGTGCACAACAAACGTATCGTTCTCCTTCCTTGGTTGGGCTTACAGACAAATTGACGGTGTCGCAATCGGAACTCCATTGAGCCCCATTCTGGCACATATGTTTTTGGCTCATCTTGAGGAAAAGGCGAGCAAAATCCTCGAACGTTCACAACTTTACAAACGATACGTTGATCATGTTCTAGTCATCACAATAAGTCTGGAAGAGACAACATGGATTATGGATAAACTCGATCGCCTGCATCCGAATATACGATTTATGATGGAAACAGAAATCGAAGATACACTGCACTTCCTCGACATTAAAATGACTAGGAATAATGATGGAACAATGGCCAGATCTGTTTACCGAAAAGAAACTTGGACAGGCCAATGCTTGCAATTTGACAGCTTTGTGTCTGTGGAATATGAACGTGGTCTGGTCCGAACACTATTTCAAACAGCACGACATATCTGCACAGAAGACATGATTGACAACGAACTACGACAGCTGAAAGAATCTTTGACTAGAAACGCTTATCCCGATGCGTTTATCGAAAAGCACAGCAAGCCTAAATTGATCAGACAAACGAATTGTTCAGCAGAAAAACTACTAGTCACCATTTGTCTTCCATTCATACGTGATGACATCAATTGCTTGCTCAAACGACCACTTGGATCAGCGCTTGCCCAAAACAAATATTATGCACCTGACCTCAGAATTATTCATCGAACGATTGAGATCCCCACACCCTCGGTGAAACAACGTCCACCTCTGTACACCAAATCGAATCTGATTTACCAATTTCAGTGTAGTTGCGGAGCAACGTACGTGGGTCGAACAGAGCGCCAGTGACGTAACCGAGTGATTGAATATATTCCAAATTGGGTACAACGTTTTGTGATGCAATCAGGGTCAGATCAAAGGCATAATGACAACGTTCGAAACCATAAGATCCCGTCGTCGGCTGTCGGCCGTCGGCCGTCGGCCGTCGGCCGTCGGCCGTCGCTCGTCATCTTCTGATGACGCAACATCCAGCTGACCGAAGCACTGCGTTTTGGGTCATTTACGTGGCAAAGAATACCAGGCTTTTGAGGTTTGTTCAAACCATTGCCATACATTCATGGAAACCTAATATTGTGTCAGCACAAACAGCTCTTTGTTCATGTGTCTTTATCATGGTGACGTAACTTGACTATTGAAATTTCCCCTATATTTGTCGAAAATTATGGTTTTACATGAACTTATATAAACAGTATGGTTGTGCAGTGTGCACCATGTTCAGATGCAGCGAAATCGTCCCGGACACGAATCGTGCAATGTTGCAACTGTGGCTTTTCTTTTCAAGATTATTTCGGGAAAAGCATGTTTAAATTTCCTCAGATCTCGTCTCCCGAAATCAACCATTAGGTCTCTCGATGACCTAGTCAGATTGAGATGTGAAATTGCCACAACTCGAGTCCGTATTCATTTTCTAAAACAACGTGCCCGTTGCAACAGATATCCGATTACGTTTTGCAAACGCTTACGGAGGAATAAAATCTGTGCCTCTACCAGGAATTTGAGACGTTTGATGCGATGTCAGATTGATGATTATAAAGAAAATCTAACGACACTTCAGACCACGTGCATCGAATGAACAATAATTCTTGACGAACTGAGCCTCGTTAGCCGAATCAAATTTACCAACTTGTGCATGGAAAACATACGAGAAGCCAAACTTTGTACATTCAACAAGCTTCAGAATTCCATCGTCCACAAGTTAGTCGAACCAAATTTTCCGAAACAACCAGAAAGGTTTGTGAAGAATTTGTCTCCGGTTAAACGAATGAACTTCAACTACAGGCTCTTTCGTGTGGTCTACGTTTCTGCATACCACCGAGTAAAATGACCAGCATAAAGACACAGGCGCAATTTGAATATCTATTCGAACAACTACAATTAGTCAAACGAACTTCAAAAGATGCGGAGACTTGGTTCAAAGCAAAGCTGGTTGACTTGGAACGACAGTACCGGATGACATCGTCCAAACATAAGTCACTCTTCACGCCTGAGCACATTCACATCCGCCATTGAAGAGCTACAGTTGTGACCTGATTTGTTAGTTTTACGCCCTAACAAGGGGTCCGGAGCAGTGCTCATCGATCGGAATGATTATGAGAAGAAGATGGAAAGTGTTCTTCATGATCCCAGCAAGTTTGTACTCGAAGATGACTGTGAAGACCCTAAAGAACTAGAACAACAGATATCGACAGCAGTACAGTTTCTACTAGAAGGACACTTCATCGATGAAAGCACAGCTCACCATCTGAAGCCAAAAGGAACTCGAAGTGCACAACTGTATGGTTTACCGAAACTAAACAAACCCGGAGTGCCACTTGGACCAATACTACTACTATCTATGACAAATTCACCACAACACGAATTGGCCAAATGGCTGGAGAAATTGCTTGAGCCAGTTCATAAATCAATGGTCAGACACACTATAAAAAAGACAGTTTCGAAGTGGTAAAGCTTTTGGACCAGATCAATGTGAAAGGGAAGCACATGGCTTCATTTGATTTCCAATCACTGTTTACGAATGTTCCCGGTCGGGAGGTCATACGTATCATGTGTGATCATGTGGAGCAAAACCAACTGAAAATCGGTATACCAGTATCAGTTCTGGTACGACAATTACTACTGTGCACAACAAACGTATCGTTCTCCTTCCTTGGTTGGGCTTACAGACAAATTGACGGTGTCGCAATCCGAACTCCATTGAGCCCCATTCTGGCACATATGTTTTTGGCTCATCTTGAGGAAAAGGCGAGCAAAATCCTCGAACGTTCACAACTTTACAAACGATACGTTGATCATGTTCTAGTCATCACAATAAGTCTAGAAGAGACAACATGGATTATGGATAAACTCGATCGCCTGCACCCGAATATACGATTTACGATGGAAACAGAAATCGAAGATACACTGCACTTCCTCGACATTAAAATGACTAGGAAGAATGATGGAACAATGGCCAGATCTGTTTACCGAAAAGAAACTTGGACAGGCCAATGCTTGCAATTTGACAGCTTTGTGTCTGTGGAATATGAACGTGGTCTGGTCCGAACACTATTTCAAACAGCACGACATATCTGCACAGAAGACATGATTGACAACGAACTACGACAGCTGATAGAATCTTTGACTAGAAACGCTTATCCCGATGCGTTTATCGAAAAGCACAGCAAGCCTAAATTGATCAGACAAACGAATTGTTCAGCAGAAAAACTACTAGTCACCATTTGTCTTCCATTCATACGTGATGACATCAATTGCTTGCTCAAACGACCACTTGGATCAGCGCTTGCCCAAAACAAATATTATGCACCTGACCTCAGAATTATTCATCGAACGATTGAGATCCCCACACCCTCGGTGAAACAACGTCCACCTCTGTACACCAAATCGAATCTGATTTACCAATTTCAGTTTAGTTGCGGAGCAACGTACGTGGGTCGAACAGAGCGCCAGTGACGTAACCGAGTGATTGAATATATTCCAAATTGGGTACAACGTTTTGTGATGCAATCAGGGTCAGATCAAAGGCATAATGACAACGTTCGAAACCATAAGATCCCGTGGTCGGCTGTCGGCCGTCGGCCGTCGGCCGTCGCTCGTCATCTTCTGATGACGCAACATCCAGCTGACCGAAGCACTGCGTTTCGGGTCATTTACGTGGCAAAGAATACCAGGCTTTTGAGGTTTGTTCAAACCATTGCCATACATTCATGGAAACCTAGTATTGTGTCAGCACAAACAGCTCTTTGTTCATGTGTCTTTATCATGGTGACGTAACTTGACTATTGAAATTTCCCCTATATTTGTCGAAAATTATGGTTTTACATGAACTTATATAAACAGTATGGTTGTGCAGTGTGCACCATGTTCAGATGCAGCGAAATCGTCCCGGACACGAATCGTGCAATGTTGCAACTGTGGCTTTTCTTTTCAAGATTATTTCGGGAAAAGCATGTTTAAATTTCCTCAGATCTCGTCTCCCGAAATCAACCATTAGGTCTCTCGATGACCTAGTCAGATTGAGATGTGAAATTGCCACAACTCGAGTCCGTATTCATTTTCTAAAACAACGTGCCCGTTGCAACAGATATCCGATTACGTTTTGCAAACGCTTACGGAGGAATAAAATCTGTGCCTCTACCAGGAATTTGAGACGTTTGATGCGATGTCAGATTGATGATTATAAAGAAAATCTAACGACACTTCAGACCACGTGCATCGAATGATCAATAATTCTTGACGAACTGAGCCTCGTTAGCCGAATCAAATTTACCAACTTGTGCATGGAAAACATACGAGAAGCCAAACTTTGTACATTCAACAAGCTTCAGAATTCCATCGTCCACAAGTTAGTCGAACCAAATTTTCCGAAACAACCAGAAAGGTTTGTGAAGAATTTGTCTCCGGTTAAACGAATGAACTTCAACTACAGGCTCTTTCGTGTGGTCTACGTTTCTGCATACCACCGAGTAAAATGACCAGCATAAAGACACAGGCGCAATTTGAATATCTATTCGAACAACTACAATTAGTCAAACGAACTTCAAAAGATGCGGAGACTTGGTTCAAAGCAAAGCTGGTTGACTTGGAACGACAGTACCGGATGACATCGTCCAAACATAAGTCACTCTTCACGCCTGAGCACATTCACATCCGCCATTGAAGAGCTACAGTTGTGACCTGATTTGTTAGTTTTACGCCCTAACAAGGGGTCCGGAGCAGTGCTGATCGATCGGAATGATTATGAGAAGAAGATGGAAAGTGTTCTTCATGATCCCAGCAAGTTTGTACTCGAAGATGACTGTGAAGACCCTAAAGAACTAGAACAACAGATATCGACAGCAGTACAGTTTCTACTAGAAGGACACTTCATCGATGAAAGCACAGCTCACCATCTGAAGCCAAAAGGAACTCGAAGTGCACAACTGTATGGTTTACCGAAACTAAACAAACCCGGAGTGCCACTTGGACCAATACTACTACTATCTATGACAAATTCACCACAACACGAATTGGCCAAATGGCTGGAGAAATTGCTTGACCCAGTTCATAAATCAATGGTCAGACACACTATAAAAAAGACAGTTTCGAAGTGGTAAAGCTTTTGGACCAGATCAATGTGAAAGGGAAGCACATGGCTTCATTTGATTTCCAATCACTGTTTACGAATGTTCCCGGTCGGGAGGTCATACGTATCATGTGTGATCATGTGGAGCAAAACCAACTGAAAATCGGTATACCAGTATCAGTTCTGGTACGACAATTACTACTGTGCACAACAAACGTACAGTTCTCCTTCCTTGGTTGGGCTTACAGACAAATTGACGGTGTCGCAATCGGAACTCCATTGAGCCCCATTCTGGCACATATGTTTTTGGCTCATCTTGAGGAAAAGGCGAGCAAAATCCTCGAACGTTCACAACTTTACAAACGATACGTTGATCATGTTCTAGTCATCACAATAAGTCTAGAAGAGACAACATGGATTATGGATAAACTCGATCGCCTGCATCCGAATATACGATTTACGATGGAAACAGAAATCGAAGATACACTGCACTTCCTCGACATTAAAATGACTAGGAAGAATGATGGAACAATGGCCAGATCTGTTTACCGAAAAGAAACTTGGACAGGCCAATGCTTGCAATTTGACAGCTTTGTGTCTGTGGAATATGAACGTGGTCTGGTCCGAACACTATTTCAAACAGCACGACATATCTGCACAGAAGACATGATTGACAACAAACTACGACAGCTGAAAGAATCTTTGACTAGAAACGCTTATCCCGATGCGTTTATCGAAAAGCACAGCAAGCCTAAATTGATCAGACAAACGAATTGTTCAGCAGAAAAACTACTAGTCACCATTTGTCTTCCATTCATACGTGATGACATCAATTGCTTGCTCAAACGACCACTTGGATCAGCGCTTGCCCAAAACAAATATTATGCACCTGACCTCAGAATTATTCATCGAACGATTGAGATCCTCACACCCTCGGTGAAACAACGTCCACCTCTGTACACCAAATCGAATCTGATTTACCAATTTCAGTGTAGTTGCGGAGCAACGTACGTGGGTCGAACAGAGCGCCAGTGACGTAACCGAGTGATTGAATATATTCCAAATTGGATACAACGTTTTGTGATGCAATCAGGGTCAGATCAAAGGCATAATGACAACGTTCGAAACCATAAGATCCCGTCGTCGGCTGTCGGCTATCGGCCGTCGGCCGTCGCTCGTCATCTTCTGATGACGCAACATCCAGCTGACCGAAGCACTGCGTTTCGGGTCATTTACGTGGCAAAGAATACCAGGCTTTTGAGGTTTGTTCAAACCATTGCCATACATTCATGGAAACCTAATATTGTGTCAGCACAAACAGCTCTTTGTTCATGTGTCTTTATCATGGTGACGTAACTTGACTATTGAAATTTCCCCTATATTTGTCGAAAATTATGGTTTTACATGAACTTATATAAACAGTATGGTTGTGCAGTGTGCACCATGTTCAGATGCAGCGAAATCGTCCCGGACACGAATCGTGCAATGTTGCAACTGTGGCTTTTCTTTTCAAGATTATTTCGGGAAAAGCATGTTTAAATTTCCTCAGATCTCGTCTCCCGAAATCAACCATTAGGTCTCTCGATGACCTAGTCAGATTGAGATGTGAAATTGCCACAACTCGAGTCCGTATTCATTTTCTGGAACAACGTGCCCGTTGCAACAGATATCCGATTACGTTTTGCAAACGCTTACGGAGGAATAAAATCTGTGCCTCTACCAGGAATTTGAGACGTTTGATGCGATGTCAGATTGATGATTATAAAGAAAATCTAACGACACTTCAGACCACGTGCATCGAATGATCAATAATTCTTGACGAACTGAGCCTCGTTAGCCGAATCAAATTTACCAACTTGTGCATGGAAAACATACGAGAAGCCAAACTTTGTACATTCAACAAGCTTCAGAATTCCATCGTCCACAAGTTAGTCGAACCAAATTTTCCGAAACAACCAGAAAGGTTTGTGAAGAATTTGTCTCCGGTTAAACGAATGAACTTCAACTACAGGCTCTTTCGTGTGGTCTACGTTTCTGCATACCACCGAGTAAAATGACCAGCATAAAGACACAGGCGCAATTTGAATATCTATTCGAACAACTACAATTAGTCAAACGAACTTCAAAAGATGCGGAGACTTGGTTCAAAGCAAAGCTGGTTGACTTGGAACGACAGTACCGGATGACATCGTCCAAACATAAGTCACTCTTCACGCCTGAGCACATTCACATCCGCCATTGAAGAGCTACAGTTGTGACCTGATTTGTTAGTTTTACGCCCTAACAAGGGGTCCGGAGCAGTGCTGATCGATCGGAATGATTATGAGAAGAAGATGGAAAGTGTTCTTCATGATCCCAGCAAGTTTGTACTCGAAGATGACTGTGAAGACCCTAAAGAACTAGAACAACAGATATCGACAGCAGTACAGTTTCTACTAGAAGGACACTTCATCGATGAAAGCACAGCTCACCATCTGAAGCCAAAAGGAACTCGAAGTGCACAACTGTATGGTTTACCGAAACTAAACAAACCCGGAGTGCCACTTGGACCAATACTACTACTATCTATGACAAATTCACCACAACACGAATTGGCCAAATGGCTGGAGAAATTGCTTGACCCAGTTCATAAATCAATGGTCAGACACACTATAAAAAAGACAGTTTCGAAGTGGTAAAGCTTTTGGACCAGATCAATGTGAAAGGGAAGCACATGGCTTCATTTGATTTCCAATCACTGTTTACGAATGTTCCCGGTCGGGAGGTCATACGTATCATGTGTGATCATGTGGAGCAAAACCAACTGAAAATCGGTATACCAGTATCAGTTCTGGTACGACAATTACTACTGTGCACAACAAACGTATCGTTCTCCTTCCTTGGTTGGGCTTACAGACAAATTGACGGTGTCGCAATCGGAACTCCATTGAGCCCCATTCTGGCACATATGTTTTTGGCTCATCTTGAGGAAAAGGCGAGCAAAATCCTCGAACGTTCACAACTTTACAAACGATACGTTGATCATGTTCTAGTCATCACAATAAGTCTAGAAGAGACAACATGGATTATGGATAAACTCGATCGCCTGCATCCAAATATACGATTTACGATGGAAACAGAAATCGAAGATACACTGCACTTCCTCGACATTAAAATGACTAGGAAGAATGATGGAACAATGGCCAGATCTGTTTACCGAAAAGAAACTTGGACAGGCCAATGCTTGCAATTTGACAGCTTTGTGTCTGTGGAATATGAACGTGGTCTGGTCCGAACACTATTTCAAACAGCACGACATATCTGCACAGAAGACATGATTGACAACGAACTACGACAGCTGAAAGAATCTTTGACTAGAAACGCTTATCCCGATGCGTTTATCGAAAAGCACAGCAAGCCTAAATTGATCAGACAAACGAATTGTTCAGCAGAAAAACTACTAGTCACCATTTGTCTTCCATTCATACGTGATGACATCAATTGCTTGCTCAAACGACCACTTGGATCAGCGCTTGCCCAAAACAAATATTATGCACCTGACCTCAGAATTATTCATCGAACGATTGAGATCCCCACACCCTCGGTGAAACAACGTCCACCTCTGTACACCAAATCGAATCTGATTTACCAATTTCAGTGTAGTTGCGAAGCAACGTACGTGGGTCGAACAGAGCGCCAGTTACGTAACCGAGTGATTGAATATATTCCAAATTGGGTACAACGTTTTGTGATGCAATCAGGGTCAGATCAAAGGCATAATGACAACGTTCGAAACCATAAGATCCCGTGGTCGGCTGTCGGCCGTCGGCCGTCGGCCGTCGCTCGTCATCTTCTGATGACGCAACATCCAGCTGACCGAAGCACTGCGTTTCGGGTCATTTACGTGGCAAAGTATACCAGGCTTTTGAGGTTTGTTCAAACCATTGCCATACATTCATGGAAACCTAATATTGTGTCAGCACAAACAGCTCTTTGTTCATGTGTCTTTATCATGGTGACGTAACTTGACTATTGAAATTTCCCCTATATTTGTCGAAAATTATGGTTTTACATGAACTTATATAAACAGTATGGTTGTGCAGTGTGCACCATGTTCAGATGCAGCGAAATCGTCCCGGACACGAATCGTGCAATGTTGCAACTGTGGCTTTTCTTTTCAAGATTATTTCGGGAAAAGCATGTTTAAATTTCCTCAGATCTCGTCTCCCGAAATCAACCATTAGGTCTCTCGATGACCTAGTCAGATTGAGATGTGAAATTGCCACAACTCGAGTCCGTATTCATTTTCTAAAACAACGTGCCCGTTGCAACAGATATCCGATTACGTTTTGCAAACGCTTACGGAGGAATAAAATCTGTGCCTCTACCAGGAATTTGAGACGTTTGATGCGATGTCAGATTGATGATTATAAAGAAAATCTAACGACACTTCAGACCACGTGCATCGAATGATCAATAATTCTTGACGAACTGAGCCTCGTTAGCCGAATCAAAATTACCAACATGTGCATGGAAAACATACGAGAAGCCAAACTTTGTACATTCAACAAGCTTCAGAATTCCATCGTCCACAAGTTAGTCGAACCAAATTTTCCGAAACAACCAGAAAGGTTTGTGAAGAATTTGTCTCCGGTTAAACGAATGAACTTCAACTACAGGCTCTTTCGTGTGGTCTACGTTTCTGCATACCACCGAGTAAAATGACCAGCATAAAGACACAGGCGCAATTTGAATATCTATTCGAACAACTACAATTAGTCAAACGAACTTCAAAAGATGCGGAGACTTGGTTCAAAGCAAAGCTGGTTGACTTGGAACGACAGTACCGGATGACATCGTCCAAACATAAGTCACTCTTCACGCCTGAGCACATTCACATCCGCCATTGAAGAGCTACAGTTGTGACCTGATTTGTTAGTTTTACGCCCTAACAAGGGGTCCGGAGCAGTGCTCATCGATCGGAATGATTATGAGAAGAAGATGGAAAGTGTTCTTCATGATCCCAGCAAGTTTGTACTCGAAGATGACTGTGAAGACCCTAAAGAACTAGAACAACAGATATCGACAGCAGTACAGTTTCTACTAGAAGGACACTTCATCGATGAAAGCACAGCTCACCATCTGAAGCCAAAAGGAACTCGAAGTGCACAACTGTATGGTTTACCGAAACTAAACAAACCCGGAGTGCCACTTGGACCAATACTACTACTATCTATGACAAATTCACCACAACACGAATTGGCCAAATGGCTGGAGAAATTGCTTGAGCCAGTTCATAAATCAATGGTCAGACACACTATAAAAAAGACAGTTTCGAAGTGGTAAAGCTTTTGGACCAGATCAATGTGAAAGGGAAGCACATGGCTTCATTTGATTTCCAATCACTGTTTACGAATGTTCCCGGTCGGGAGGTCATACGTATCATGTGTGATCATGTGGAGCAAAACCAACTGAAAATCGGTATACCAGTATCAGTTCTGGTACGACAATTACTACTGTGCACAACAAACGTACAGTTCTCCTTCCTTGGTTGGGCTTACAGACAAATTGACGGTGTCGCAATCGGAACTCCATTGAGCCCCATTCTGGCACATATGTTTTTGGCTCATCTTGAGGAAAAGGCGAGCAAAATCCTCGAACGTTCACAACTTTACAAACGATACGTTGATCATGTTCTAGTCATCACAATAAGTCTAGAAGAGACAACATGGATTATGGATAAACTCGATCGCCTGCATCCGAATATACGATTTACGATGGAAACAGAAATCGAAGATACACTGCACTTCCTCGACATTAAAATCACTAGGAATAATGATGGAACAATGGCCAGATCTGTTTACCGAAAAGAAATTTGGACAGGCCAATGCTTGCAATTTGACAGCTTTGTGTCTGTGGAATATGAACGTGGTCTGGTCCGAACACTATTTCAAACAGCACGACATATCTGCACAGAAGACATGATTGACAACGAACTACGACAGCTGAAAGAATCTTTGACTAGAAACGCTTATCCCGATGCGTTTATCGAAAAGCACAGCAAGCCTAAATTGATCAGACAAACGAATTGTTCAGCAGAAAAACTACTAGTCACCATTTGTCTTCCATTCATACGTGATGACATCAATTGCTTGCTCAAACGACCACTTGGATCAGCGCTTGCCCAAAACAAATATTATGCACCTGACCTCAGAATTATTCATCGAACGATTGAGATCCCCACACCCTCGGTGAAACAACGTCCACCTCTGTACACCAAATCGAATCTGATTTACCAATTTCAGTGTAGTTGCGGAGCAACGTACGTGGGTCGAACAGAGCGCCAGTGACGTAACCGAGTGATTGAATATATTCCAAATTGGGTACAACGTTTTGTGATGCAATCAGGGTCAGATCAAAGGCATAATGACAACGTTCGAAACCATAAGATCCCGTGGTCGGCTGTCGGCCGTCGGCCGTCGGCCGTCGCTCGTCATCTTCTGATGACGCAACATCCAGCTGACCGAAGCACTGCGTTTCGGGTCATTTACGTGGCAAAGTATACCAGGCTTTTGAGGTTTGTTCAAACCATTGCCATACATTCATGGAAACCTAATATTGTGTCAGCACAAACAGCTCTTTGTTCATGTGTCTTTATCATGGTGACGTAACTTGACTATTGAAATTTCCCCTATATTTGTCGAAAATTATGGTTTTACATGAACTTATATAAACAGTATGGTTGTGCAGTGTGCACCATGTTCAGATGCAGCGAAATCGTCCCGGACACGAATCGTGCAATGTTGCAACTGTGGCTTTTCTTTTCAAGATTATTTCGGGAAAAGCATGTTTAAATTTCCTCAGATCTCGTCTCCCGAAATCAACCATTAGGTCTCTCGATGACCTAGTCAGATTGAGATGTGAAATTGCCACAACTCGAGTCCGTATTCATTTTCTGGAACAACGTGCCCGTTGCAACAGATATCCGATTACGTTTTGCAAACGCTTACGGAGGAATAAAATCTGTGCCTCTACCAGGAATTTGAGACGTTTGATGCGATGTCAGATTGATGATTATAAAGAAAATCTAACGACACTTCAGACCACGTGCATCGAATGATCAATAATTCTTGACGAACTGAGCCTCGTTAGCCGAATCAAAATTACCAACTTGTGCATGGAAAACATACGAGAAGCCAAACTTTGTACATTCAACAAGCTTCAGAATTCCATCGTCCACAAGTTAGTCGAACCAAATTTTCCGAAACAACCAGAAAGGTTTGTGAAGAATTTGTCTCCGGTTAAACGAATGAACTTCAACTACAGGCTCTTTCGTGTGGTCTACGTTTCTGCATACCACCGAGTAAAATGACCAGCATAAAGACACAGGCGCAATTTGAATATCTATTCGAACAACTACAATTAGTCAAACGAACTTCAAAAGATGCGGAGACTTGGTTCAAAGCAAAGCTGGTTGACTTGGAACGACAGTACCGGATGACATCGTCCAAACATAAGTCACTCTTCACGCCTGAGCACATTCACATCCGCCATTGAAGAGCTACAGTTGTGACCTGATTTGTTAGTTTAACGCCCTAACAAGGGGTCCGGAGCAGTGCTCATCGATCGGAATGATTATGAGAAGAAGATGGAAAGTGTTCTTCATGATCCCAGCAAGTTTGTACTCGAAGATGACTGTGAAGACCCTAAAGAACTAGAACAACAGATATCGACAGCAGTACAGTTTCTACTAGAAGGACACTTCATCGACGAAAGCACAGCTCACCATCTGAAGCCAAAAGGAACTCGAAGTGCACAACTGTATGGTTTACCGAAACTAAACAAACCCGGAGTGCCACTTGGACCAATACTACTACTATCTATGACAAATTCACCACAACACGAATTGGCCAAATGGCTGGAGAAAGTGCTTGAGCCAGTTCATAAATCAATGGTCAGACACACTATAAAAAAGACAGTTTCGAAGTGGTAAAGCTTTTGGACCAGATCAATGTGAAAGGGAAGCACATGGCTTCATTTGATTTCCAATCACTGTTTACGAATGTTCCCGGTCGGGAGGTCATACGTATCATGTGTGATCATGTGGAGCAAAACCAACTGAAAATCGGTATACCAGTATCAGTTCTGGTACGACAATTACTACTGTGCACAATAAACGTACAGTTCTCCTTCCTTGGTTGGGCTTACAGACAAATTGACGGTGTCGCAATCGGAACTCCATTGAGCCCCATTCTGGCACATATGTTTTTGGCTCATCTTGAGGAAAAGGCGAGCAAAATCCTCGAACGTTCACAACTTTACAAACGATACGTTGATCATGTTCTAGTCATCACAATAAGTCTAGAAGAGACAACATGGATTATGGATAAACTCGATCGCCTGCATCCGAATATACGATTTACGATGGAAACAGAAATCGAAGATACACTGCACTTCCTCGACATTAAAATCACTAGGAATAATGATGGAACAATGGCCAGATCTGTTTACCGAAAAGAAACTTGGACAGGCCAATGTTTGCAATTTGACAGCTTTGTGTCTGTGGAATATGAACGTGGTCTGGTCCGAACACTATTTCAAACAGCACGACATATCTGCACAGAAGACATGATTGACAACGAACTACGACAGCTGAAAGAATCTTTGACTAGAAACGCTTATCCCGATGCGTTTATCGAAAAGCACAGCAAGCCTAAATTGATCAGACAAACGAATTGTTCAGCAGAAAAACTACTAGTCACCATTTGTCTTCCATTCATACGTGATGACATCAATTGCTTGCTCAAACGACCACTTGGATCAGCGCTTGCCGAAAACAAATATTATGCACCTGACCTCAGAATTATTCATCGAACGATTGAGATCCCCACACCCTCGGTGAAACAACGTCCACCTCTGTACACCAAATCGAATCTGATTTACCAATTTCAGTGTAGTTGCGGAGCAACGTACGTGGGTCGAACAGAGCGCCAGTTACGTAACCGAGTGATTGAATATATTCCAAATTGGGTACAACGTTTTGTGATGCAATCAGGGTCAGATCAAAGGCATAATGACAACGTTCGAAACCATAAGATCCCGTGGTCGGCTGTCGGCCGTCGGCCGTCGGCCGTCGCTCGTCATCTTCTGATGACGCAACATCCAGCTGACCGAAGCACTGCGTTTCGGGTCATTTACGTGGCAAAGAATACCAGGCTTTTGAGGTTTGTTCAAACCATTGCCATACATTCATGGAAACCTAATATTGTGTCAGCACAAACAGCTCTTTGTTCATGTGTCTTTATCATGGTGACGTAACTTGACTATTGAAATTTCCCCTATATTTGTCGAAAATTATGGTTTTACATGAACTTATATAAACAGTATGGTTGTGCAGTGTGCACCATGTTCAGATGCAGCGAAATCGTCCCGGACACGAATCGTGCAATGTTGCAACTGTGGCTTTTCTTTTCAAGATTATTTCGGGAAAAGCATGTTTAAATTTCCTCAGATCTCGTCTCCCGAAATCAACCATTAGGTCTCTCGATGACCTAGTCAGATTGAGATGTGAAATTGCCACAACTCGAGTCCGTATTCATTTTCTGGAACAACGTGCCCGTTGCAACAGATATCCGATTACGTTTTGCAAACGCTTACGGAGGAATAAAATCTGTGCCTCTACCAGGAATTTGAGACGTTTGATGCGATGTCAGATTGATGATTATAAAGAAAATCTAACGACACTTCAGACCACGTGCATCGAATGATCAATAATTCTTGACGAACTGAGCCTCGTTAGCCGAATCAAAATTACCAACATGTGCATGGAATGCATACGAGAAGCCAAATTTTGTACATTCAACAAGCTTCAGAATTCCATCGTCCACAAGTTAGTCGAACCAAATTTTCCGAAACAACCAGAAAGGTTTGTGAAGAATTTGTCTCCGGTTAAACGAATGAACTTCAACTACAGGCTCTTTCGTGTGGTCTACGTTTCTGCATACCACCGAGTAAAATGACCAGCATAAAGACACAGGCGCAATTTGAATATCTATTCGAACAACTACAATTAGTCAAACGAACTTCAAAAGATGCGGAGACTTGGTTCAAAGCAAAGCTGGTTGACTTGGAACGACAGTACCGGATGACATCGTCCAAACATAAGTCACTCTTCACGCCTGAGCACATTCACATCCGCCATTGAAGAGCTACAGTTGTGACCTGATTTGTTAGTTTAACGCCCTAACAAGGGGTCCGGAGCAGTGCTGATCGATCGGAATGATTATGAGAAGAAGATGGAAAGTGTTCTTCATGATCCCAGCAAGTTTGTACTCGAAGATGACTGTGAAGACCCTAAAGAACTAGAACAACAGATATCGACAGCAGTACAGTTTCTACTAGAAGGACACTTCATCGATGAAAGCACAGCTCACCATCTGAAGCCAAAAGGAACTCGAAGTGCACAACTGTATGGTTTACCGAAACTAAACAAACCCGGAGTGCCACTTGGACCAATACTACTACTATCTATGACAAATTCACCACAACACGAATTGGCCAAATGGCTGGAGAAATTGCTTGAGCCAGTTCATAAATCAATGGTCAGACACACTATAAAAAAGACAGTTTCGAAGTGGTAAAGCTTTTGGACCAGATCAATGTGAAAGGGAAGCACATGGCTTCATTTGATTTCCAATCACTGTTTACGAATGTTCCCGGTCGGGAGGTCATACGTATCATGTGTGATCATGTGGAGCAAAACCAACTGAAAATCGGTATACCAGTATCAGTTCTGGTACGACAATTACTACTGTGCACAACAAACGTATCGTTATCCTTCCTTGGTTGGGCTTACAGACAAATTGACGGTGTCGCAATCGGAACTCCATTGAGCCCCATTCTGGCACATATGTTTTTGGCTCATCTTGAGGAAAAGGCGAGCAAAATCCTCGAACGTTCACAACTTTACAAACGATACGTTGATCATGTTCTAGTCATCACAATAAGTCTAGAAGAGACAACATGGATTATGGATAAACTCGATCGCCTGCATCCGAATATACGATTTACGATGGAAACAGAAATCGAAGATACACTGCACTTCCTCGACATTAAAATGACTAGGAAGAATGATGGAACAATGGCCAGATCTGTTTACCGAAAAGAAACTTGGACAGGCCAATGCTTGCAATTTGACAGCTTTGTGTCTGTGGAATATGAACGTGGTCTGGTCCGAACACTATTTCAAACAGCACGACATATCTGCACAGAAGACATGATTGACAACGAACTACGACAGCTGAAAGAATCTTTGACTAGAAACGCTTATCCCGATGCGTTTATCGAAAAGCACAGCAAGCCTAAATTGATCAGACAAACGAATTGTTCAGCAGAAAAACTACTAGTCACCATTTGTCTTCCATTCATACGTGATGACATCAATTGCTTGCTCAAACGACCACTTGGATCAGCGCTTGCCCAAAACAAATATTATGCACCTGACCTCAGAATTATTCATCGAACGATTGAGATCCCCACACCCTCGGTGAAACAACGTCCACCTCTGTACACCAAATCGAATCTGATTTACCAATTTCAGTGTAGTTGCGGAGCAACGTACGTGGGTCGAACAGAGCGCCAGTTACGTAACCGAGTGATTGAATATATTCCAAATTGGGTACAACGTTTTGTGATGCAATCAGGGTCAGATCAAAGGCATAATGACAACGTTCGAAACCATAAGATCCCGTGGTCGGCTGTCGGCCGTCGGCCGTCGGCCGTCGCTCGTCATCTTCTGATGACGCAACATCCAGCTGACCGAAGCACTGCGTTTCGGGTCATTTACGTGGCAAAGAATACCAGGCTTTTGAGGTTTGTTCAAACCATTGCCATACAGTCATGGAAACCTAATATTGTGTCAGCACAAACAGCTCTTTGTTCATGTGTCTTTATCATGGTGACGTAACTTGACTATTGAAATTTCCCCTATATTTGTCGAAAATTATGGTTTTACATGAACTTATATAAACAGTATGGTTGTGCAGTGTGCACCATGTTCAGATGCAGCGAAATCGTCCCGGACACGAATCGTGCAATGTTGCAACTGTGGCTTTTCTTTTCAAGATTATTTCGGGAAAAGCATGTTTAAATTTCCTCAGATCTCGTCTCCCGAAATCAACCATTAGGTCTCTCGATGACCTAGTCAGATTGAGATGTGAAATTGCCACAACTCGAGTCCGTATTCATTTTCTGGAACAACGTGCCCGTTGCAACAGATATCCGATTACGTTTTGCAAACGCTTACGGAGGAATAAAATCTGTGCCTCTACCAGGAATTTGAGACGTTTGATGCGATGTCAGATTGATGATTATAAAGAAAATCTAACGACACTTCAGACCACGTGCATCGAATGATCAATAATTCTTGACGAACTGAGCCTCGTTAGCCGAATCAAAATTACCAACTTGTGCATGGAATGCATACGAGAAGCCAAATTTTGTACATTCAACAAGCTTCAGAATTCCATCGTCCACAAGTTAGTCGAACCAAATTTTCCGAAACAACCAGAAAGGTTTGTGAAGAATTTGTCTCCGGTTAAACGAATGAACTTCAACTACAGGCTCTTTCGTGTGGTCTACGTTTCTGCATACCACCGAGTAAAATGACCAGCATAAAGACACAGGCGCAATTTGAATATCTATTCGAACAACTACAATTAGTCAAACGAACTTCAAAAGATGCGGAGACTTGGTTCAAAGCAAAGCTGGTTGACTTGGAACGACAGTACCGGATGACATCGTCCAAACATAAGTCACTCTTCACGCCTGAGCACATTCACATCCGCCATTGAAGAGCTACAGTTGTGACCTGATTTGTTAGTTTAACGCCCTAACAAGGGGTCCGGAGCAGTGCTGATCGATCGGAATGATTATGAGAAGAAGATGGAAAGTGTTCTTCATGATCCCAGCAAGTTTGTACTCGAAGATGACTGTGAAGACCCTAAAGAACTAGAACAACAGATATCGACAGCAGTACAGTTTCTACTAGAAGGACACTTCATCGATGAAAGCACAGCTCACCATCTGAAGCTAAAAGGAACTCGAAGTGCACAACTGTATGGTTTACCGAAACTAAACAAACCCGGAGTGCCACTTGGACCAATACTACTACTATCTATGACAAATTCACCACAACACGAATTGGCCAAATGGCTGGAGAAATTGCTTGAGCCAGTTCATAAATCAATGGTCAGACACACTATAAAAAAGACAGTTTCGAAGTGGTAAAGCTTTTGGACCAGATCAATGTGAAAGGGAAGCACATGGCTTCATTTGATTTCCAATCACTGTTTACGAATGTTCCCGGTCGGGAGGTCATACGTATCATGTGTGATCATGTGGAGCAAAACCAACTGAAAATCGGTATACCAGTATCAGTTCTGGTACGACAATTACTACTGTGCACAACAAACGTATCGTTCTCCTTCCTTGGTTGGGCTTACAGACAAATTGACGGTGTCGCAATCCGAACTCCATTGAGCCCCATTCTGGCACATATGTTTTTGGCTCATCTTGAGGAAAAGGCGAGCAAAATCCTCGAACGTTCACAACTTTACAAACGATACGTTGATCATGTTCTAGTCATCACAATAAGTCTAGAAGAGACAACATGGATTATGGATAAACTCGATCGCCTGCATCCGAATATACGATTTACGATGGAAACAGAAATCGAAGATACACTGCACTTCCTCGACATTAAAATGACTAGGAAGAATGATGGAACAATGGCCAGATCTGTTTACTGAAAAGAAACTTGGACAGGCCAATGCTTGCAATTTGACAGCTTTGTGCCTGTGGAATATGAACGTGGTCTGGTCCGAACACTATTTCAAACAGCACGACATATCTGCACAGAAGACATGATTGACAACGAACTACGACAGCTGAAAGAATCTTTGACTAGAAACGCTTATCCCGATGCGTTTATCGAAAAGCACAGCAAGCCTAAATTGATCAGACAAACGAATTGTTCAGCAGAAAAACTACTAGTCACCATTTGTCTTCCATTCATACGTGATGACATCAATTGCTTGCTCAAACGACCACTTGGATCAGCGCTTGCCGAAAACAAATATTATGCACCTGACCTCAGAATTATTCATCGAACGATTGAGATCCCCACACCCTCGGTGAAACAACGTCCACCTCTGTACACCAAATCGAATCTGATTTACCAATTTCAGTGTAGTTGCGGAGCAACGTACGTGGGTCGAACAGAGCGCCAGTTACGTAACCGAGTGATTGAATATATTCCAAATTGGGTACAACGTTTTGTGATGCAATCAGGGTCAGATCAAAGGCATAATGACAACGTTCGAAACCATAAGATCCCGTGGTCGGCTGTCGGCCGTCGGCCGTCGGCCGTCGCTCGTCATCTTCTGATGACGCAACATCCAGCTGACCGAAGCACTGCGTTTCGGGTCATTTACGTGGCAAAGTATACCAGGCTTTTGAGGTTTGTTCAAACCATTGCCATACATTCATGGAAACCTAATATTGTGTCAGCACAAACAGCTCTTTGTTCATGTGTCTTTATCATGGTGACGTAACTTGACTATTGAAATTTCCCCTATATTTGTCGAAAATTATGGTTTTACATGAACTTATATAAACAGTATGGTTGTGCAGTGTGCACCATGTTCAGATGCAGCGAAATCGTCCCGGACACGAATCGTGCAATGTTGCAACTGTGGCTTTTCTTTTCAAGATTATTTCGGGAAAAGCATGTTTAAATTTCCTCAGATCTCGTCTCCCGAAATCAACCATTAGGTCTCTCGATGACCTAGTCAGATTGAGATGTGAAATTGCCACAACTCGAGTCCGTATTCATTTTCTGGAACAACGTGCCCGTTGCAACAGATATCCGATTACGTTTTGCAAACGCTTACGGAGGAATAAAATCTGTGCCTCTACCAGGAATTTGAGACGTTTGATGCGATGTCAGATTGATGATTATAAAGAAAATCTAACGACACTTCAGACCACGTGCATCGAATGATCAATAATTCTTGACGAACTGAGCCTCGTTAGCCGAATCAAAATTACCAACTTGTGCATGGAATGCATACGAGAAGCCAAATTTTGTACATTCAACAAGCTTCAGAATTCCATCGTCCACAAGTTAGTCGAACCAAATTTTCCGAAACAACCAGAAAGGTTTGTGAAGAATTTGTCTCCGGTTAAACGAATGAACTTCAACTACAGGCTCTTTCGTGTGGTCTACGTTTCTGCATACCACCGAGTAAAATGACCAGCATAAAGACACAGGCGCAATTTGAATATCTATTCGAACAACTACAATTAGTCAAACGAACTTCAAAAGATGCGGAGACTTGGTTCAAAGCAAAGCTGGTTGACTTGGAACGACAGTACCGGATGACATCGTCCAAACATAAGTCACTCTTCACGCCTGAGCACATTCACATCCGCTATTGAAGAGCTACAGTTGTGACCTGATTTGTTAGTTTTACGCCCTAACAAGGGGTCCGGAGCAGTGCTCATCGATCGGAATGATTATGAGAAGAAGATGGAAAGTGTTCTTCATGATCCCAGCAAGTTTGTACTCGAAGATGACTGTGAAGACCCTAAAGAACTAGAACAACAGATATCGACAGCAGTACAGTTTCTACTAGCAGGACACTTCATCGATGAATGCACAGCTCACCATCTGAAGCCAAAAGGAACTCGAAGTGCACAACTGTATGGTTTACTGAAACTAAACAAACCCGGAGTGCCACTTGGACCAATACTACTACTATCTATGACAAATTCACCACAACACGAATTGGCCAAATGGCTGGAGAAATTGCTTGAGCCAGTTCATAAATCAATGGTCAGACACACTATAAAAAAGACAGTTTCGAAGTGGTAAAGCTTTTGGACCAGATCAATGTGAAAGGGAAGCACATGGCTTCATTTGATTTCCAATCACTGTTTACGAATGTTCCCGGTCGGGAGGTCATACGTATCATGTGTGATCATGTGGAGCAAAACCAACTGAAAATCGGTATACCAGTATCAGTTCTGGTACGACAATTACTACTGTGCACAACAAACGTATCGTTCTCCTTCCTTGGTTGGGCTTACAGACAAATTGACGGTGTCGCAATCCGAACTCCATTGAGCCCCATTCTGGCACATATGTTTTTGGCTCATCTTGAGGAAAAGGCGAGCAAAATCCTCGAACGTTCACAACTTTACAAACGATACGTTGATCATGTTCTAGTCATCACAATAAGTCTAGATGAGACAACATGGATTATGGATAAACTCGATCGCCTGCATCCAAATATACGATTTACGATGGAAACAGAAATCGAAGATACACTGCACTTCCTCGACATTAAAATGACTAGGAAGAATGATGGAACAATGGCCAGATCTGTTTACTGAAAAGAAACTTGGACAGGCCAATGCTTGCAATTTGACAGCTTTGTGTCTGTGGAATATGAACGTGGTCTGGTCCGAACACTATTTCAAACAGCACGACATATCTGCACAGAAGACATGATTGACAAAGAACTACGACAGCTGAAAGAATCTTTGACTAGAAACGCTTACACCGATGCGTCTATCGAAAAGCACAGCAAGCCTCAATTGATCAGACAAACGACTTGTTCAGCAGAAAAACTACTAGGACTAGCGCAAATAGGTGAATTGATCGAAACTGGGCTTAAACGGCGTCCTACGGGCACCATCATTCTTTGTCCAGAGGATAGTCACGGCCTGAGAAACACATTGGCACAAGAGAAATTCCAATAGGTTTAGCGCAAATGGGTGAATTGTTCGAAACTGGGCTTAAACGGCGTCATACGGGCACGATCATTCTTTGTCCAGAGGATAGTCACGGCCTGAGAAACACATTGGCACAAGAGAAATTCCAATAGGACTAGCGCAAATAGGTGAATTGATCGAAACTGGGCTTAAACGGCGTCCTACGGGCACGATCATTCTTTGTCCAAAGGATATTCACGGCCTGAGAAACACATTGGCACAAGAGAAATTCCAATAGGACTAGCGCAAATAGGTGAATTGATCGAAACTGGGCTTAAACGGCGTCCTACGGGAACGATCATTCTTTGTCCAGAGGATAGTCACGGCCTGAGAAACACATTGGCACAAGAGAAATTCCAATAGGACTAGCGCAAATAGGTGAATTGATCGAAACTGGGCTTAAACGGCGTCCTACGGGCACAATGATTCCTTGTCCAGAGGATAGTCACGGCCTGAGAAACACATTGGCACAAGAGAAATTCCAATGGGACTAGCGCAAATAGGTGAATTGATCGAAACTGGGCTTAAACGGCGTCCTACGGGCACGATCATTCTTTGTCCAGAAGATAGTCACGGCCTGAGGAACACATTGGCACAAGAGAAATTCCAATAGGACTAGCGCAAATAGGTGAATTGATCGAAACTGGGCTTAAACGGCGTCCTACGGGCACGATCATTCTTTGTCCAGAAGATAGTCACAGCCTGAGAAACACATTGGCACAAGAGAAATTCCAATAGGACTAGCGCAAATAGGTGAATTGATCGAAACTGGGCTTAAACGGCGTCATACGGGCACGATCATTCTTTGTCCAGAGGATAGTCACGGCCTGAGAAACACATTGGCACAAGAGAAATTCCAATAGGACTAGCGCAAATAGGTGAATTGATCGAAACTGGGCTTAAACGGCGTCCTACGGGCACGATCATTCTTTGTCCAGAGGACAGTCACAGCCTGAGAAACACATTGGCACAAGAGAAATTCCAATAGGACTAGCGCAAATAGGTGAATTGATCGAAACTGGGCTTAAACGGCGTCCTACGGGCACGATCATTCTTTGTCCAGAGGATAGTCACGGCCTGAGAAACACATTGGCACAAGAGAAATTCCAATAGGACTAGCGCAAATAGGTGAATTGATCGAAACTGGGCTTAAACGGCGTCATACGGGCACGATCATTCTTTGTCCAGAGGATAGTCACGGCCTGAGAAACACATTGGCACAAGAGAAATTCCAATAGGACTAGCGCAAATAGGTGAATTGATCGAAACTGGGCTTAAACGGCGTCCTACGGGCACGATGATTCTTTGTCCAGAGGATAGTCACGGCCTGAGAAACACATTGGCACAAGAGAAATTCCAATAGGACTAGCGCAAATAGTTGAATTGATCGAAACTGGGCTTAAACGGCGTCCTACGGGCACAATGATTCCTTGTCCAGAGGATAGTCACGGCCTGAGAAACACATTGGCACAAGAGAAATTCCAATAGGACTAGCCCAAATAGGTGAATTGATCGAAACTGGGCGTAAACGGCGTCCTACGGGCACGATCATTCTTTGTCCAGAGGATAGTCACGGCCTGAGAAACACATTGGCACAAGAGAAATTCCAATAGGACTAGCGCAAATAGGTGAATTGATCGAAACTGGGCTTAAACGGCGTTCTACGGGCATGATCATTCTTTGTCCAGAGGATAGTCACGGCCTGAGAAACACATTGGCACAAGAGAAATTCCAATAGGACCAGCGCAAATAGGTGAATTGTTCGAAACTGGGCTTAAACGGCGTCCTACGGGCACGATCATTCTTTGTCCAGAGGATAGTCACGGCCTGAGAAACACATTGGCACAAGAGAAATTCCAATAGGACTAGCGCAAATAGGTGAATTGATCGAAACTGGGCTTAAACGGCGTCCTACGGGCACAATGATTCTTTGTCCAGAGGATAGTCACGGTCTGAGAAACACATTGGCACAAGAGAAATTCCAATAGGACTAGCGCAAATAGGTGAATTGATCGAAACTGGGCTTAAACGGCGTCATACGGGCACGATCATTCTTTGTCCAGAGGATAGTCACGGCCTGAGAAACACATTGGCACAAGAGAAATTCCAATAGGACTAGCGCAAATAGGTGAATTGATCGAAACTGGGCTTAAACGGCGTCCTACGGGCACGATCATTCTTTGTCCAGAGGTTAGTCACAGCCTGAGAAACACATTGGCACAAGAGGAATTCCAATAGGACTAGCGCAAATAGGTGAATTGATCGAAACTGGGCTTAAACGGCGTCCTACGGGCACGATCATTCTTTGTCCAGAGGATAGTCACGGCCTGAGAAACATATTGGCACAAGAGAATTTCCAATAGGACTAGCGCAAATAGGTGAATTGATCGAAACTGGGCTTAAACGGCGTCATACGGGCACGATCATTCTTTGTCCAGAAGATAGTCACGGCCTGAGAAACACATTGGCACAAGAGAAATTCCAATAGGACTAGCGCAAATAGGTGAATTGATCGAAACTGGGCTTAAACGGCGTCCTACGGGCACGATCATTCTTTGTCCAGAGGATAGTCACGGCCTGAGAAACACATTGGCACAAGAGAAATTCCAATAGGACTAGCCCAAATAGGTGAATTGATCGAAACTGGGCTTAAACGGCGTCCTACGGGCACGATCATTCTTTGTCCAGAGGAAAGTCACGGCCTGAGAAACACATTGGCACAAGAGAAATTCCAATAGGACTAGCGCAAATAGGTGAATTGATCGAAACTGGGCTTAAACGGCGTCCTACGGGAACGATCATTCTTTGTCCAGAGGATAGTCACGGCCTGAGAAACACATTGGCACAAGAGAAATTTCAATAGGACTAGCGCAAATAGGTGAATTGATCGAAACTGGGCGTAAACGGCGTCCTACGGGCACGATCATTCTTTGTCCAGAGGATAGTCACAGCCTGAGAAACACATTGGCACAAGAGAAATTCCAATAGGACTAGCGCAAATAGGTGAATTGATCGAAACTGGGCTTAAACGGCGTCCTACGGGCACGATCACTCTTTGTCCAGAGGATAGTCACGGCCTGAGAAACACATTGGCACAAGAGAAATTCCAATAGGACTAGCGCAAATAGGTGAATTGATCGAAACTGGGCTTAAACGGCGTCCTACGGGCACGATCATTCTTTGTCCAGAGGATAGTCACGGCCTGAGAAACACATTGGCACAAGAGAAATTCCAATAGGACTAGCGCAAATAGGTGAATTGATCGAAACTGGGCTTAAACGGCGTCCTACGGGCATGATCATTCTTTGTCCAGAGGATAGTCACGGCCTGAGAAACACATTGGCACAAGAGAAATTCCAATAGGACTAGCGCAAATAGGTGAATTGATCGAAACTGGGCTTAAACGGCGTCCTACGGGCACGATCATTCTTTGTCCAGAGGATAGTCACGGCCTGAGAAACATATTGGCACAAGAGAATTTCCAATAGGACTAGCGCAAATAGGTGAATTGATCGAAACTGGGCGTAAACGGCGTCCTACGGGCACGATCATTCTTTGTCCAGAGGATAGTCACGGCCTGAGAAACACATTGGCACAAGAGAAATTCCAATAGGACTAGCGCAAATAGGTGAATTGATCGAAACTGGGCTTAAACGGCGTCCTACGGGCATGATCATTCTTTGTCCAGAGGATAGTCACGGCCTGAGAAACACATTGGCACAAGAGAAATTCCAATAGGACTAGCGCAAATAGGTGAATTGATCGAAACTGGGCTTAAACGGCGTCCTACGGGCACGATCATTCTTTGTCCAGAGGATAGTCACGGCCTGAGAAACACATTGGCACAAGAGAAATTCCAATAGGACTAGCGCAAATAGGTGAATTGATCGAAACTGGGCTTAAACGGCGTCCTACGGGCACGATCATTCTTTGTCCAGAGGATAGTCACGGCCTGAGAAACACATTGGCACAAGAGAAATTCCAATAGGACTAGCGCAAATAGGTGAATTGATCGAAACTGGGCTTAAACGGCGTCCTACGGGCACGATCATTCTTTGTCCAGAGGATAGTCACGGCCTGAGAAACACATTGGCACAAGAGAAATTCCAATAGGACTAGCGCAAATAGGTGAATTGATCGAAACTGGGCTTAAACGGCGTCCTACGGGAACGATCATTCTTTGTCCAGAGGATAGTCACGGCCTGAGAAACACATTGGCACAAGAGAAATTCCAATAGGACTAGCGCAAATAGGTGAATTGATCGAAACTGGGCGTAAACGGCGTCCTACGGGCACGATCATTCTTTGTCCAGAGGATAGTCACAGCCTGAGAAACACATTGGCACAAGAGAAATTCCAATAGGACTAGCGCAAATAGGTGAATTGATCGAAACTGGGCTTAAACGGCGTCCTACGGGCACAATGATTCCTTGTCCAGAGGATAGTCACGGCCTGAGAAACACATTGGCACAAGAGAAATTCCAATAGGACTAGCGCAAATAGGTGAATTGATCGAAACTGGGCTTAAACGGCGTCCTACGGGCACGATCATTCTTTGTCCAGAGGATAGTCACGGCCTGAGAAACACATTGGCACAAGAGAAATTCCAATAGGACTAGCGCAAATAGGTGAATTGATCGAAACTGGGCTTAAACGGCGTCCTACGGGCATGATCATTCTTTGTCCAGAGGATAGTCACGGCCTGAGAAACACATTGGCACAAGAGAAATTCCAATAGGACTAGCGCAAATAGGTGAATTGATCGAAACTGGGCTTAAACGGCGTCCTACGGGCACGATCATTCTTTGTCCAGAGGATAGTCACGGCCTGAGAAACATATTGGCACAAGAGAATTTCCAATAGGACTAGCGCAAATAGGTGAATTGATCGAAACTGGGCGTAAACGGCGTCCTACGGGCACGATCATTCTTTGTCCAGAGGATAGTCACGGCCTGAGAAACACATTGGCACAAGAGAAATTCCAATAG